TTGATATGGATATAAACATAAATATGCATACATTCATTCATTCATGCATGCATTATTTATGAATTAGTATATAACTAGATAAAAATGTATATATATGCGTATATATGTATACACAAGAGTATATATATACACCACCCTGCTTCATGCGCAGGGTGGTGTGAAGCGATGGTGTGGTAGCCTAGATAGTGTCAAGCGCTTGCATGCCTTCTCGCTTGCAGCTGCCACCGCTGGCTAGGCTTGTGCGAAAAAGTGCGTAAGTCTCCCTTGCCAGTGCATAGCCTCTCCATCATCAAGACTTCTGCAGTGCCTCCTCATGGCCACCTATGGAAACTGGCACCTTGCAGTCCCAGGTTGAATTGTAGGGGATCTTGGAGCAGCAGGAGGCCCCAGAGGTACAGGGTCATGGCCCACCGGCATGTGGACACCATCTGGCCCTGTACTAACTCCTGCCCCTAAGCCCCCTGGGGTCAATGGGAGGCTCGGGGGAGGTGGGCCTTGCCAGTCCTCCTCCCCCCAGAGAATACCCCACTGGCAGTGCTTGCTATAAACGGTAATGCTGGGGGGAGGGAAAACGTCCCTCCTACCCAGCAAGAGAGGTGGGCTGCGGGCCCCATTGGGAAGGTGGCTGCTGGGGCACGGGATTGGAGTGGGAGCTCTTTGTCCCGTCTGCATTCTGGTAGCCACCAGCCCGATATGAAGCCCTAAGGAACCCCACAGGTGGATGATGGGTCCCGCAGCCTGCCGCCTTTGAGGTGGGGCAGCGTCGGCGGGGGTGGCAGAGGTGGCGTCCACCCGGAGCGACTGCCCGAGGGTTAACCTCAGGCGGGAAGTCAGGTTGGGGGCTTGGAACGTCCGCTCTCTGCGTCAGGATGATCGGTCACCATCTTCAGAGAGTAGCCATAGCTGTCTCTGGTAGGCTCCGGCCCTCGGTGAGCATATAATGGTAGTGAGACTGAAGCTGTCTTTTGGCTTCATGTCTCTTATTGCTGTGTACGCTCCTACCGATGTTTGTAAACTTGACGTGAAAGAGATGTTCTACACCAAACTTGCGTCTGTGGCAGACAGTTGTCCCCGGCGAGATATTCGTATTGTTCTGGGTGACTTCAATGCGGTATCTGGCTGCGATCGAGCTGGCTATGAGATGTCAGTCGGTCCTCATGGTTCGGGAGTTGATACCGGCAGCGAGAATTCCCTCCTTTTCCGGGATTTCTGGCTCCTGGTACCAGCGCCCAGACCCACATCGTTGGACATGGTACAGCAATGCGGGTAATGCAGCCAAGGAGATCGACCACATTCTCGTTAGCACTCGTTGGAGGATCCTCCAGAACTGCAGGGTGTATAGGAGTGCTGAGTTCTGTGGTACTGACCATAGATTGGTTTGGCTACCCTCCGGGTACACTTCAAAACTCCCCAGCAGCCCAATGACCACCCTAGGGTGTTTCATCTGGACAGGCTGAAGGAGAGGGAGTGTGCTCGGAGGTTTGCTGAGACAATCTCTGATCGGTTCACACTTGACAATCTGAGACCCTGTACTTCTGTGGGACACCTTCAAGCGAAACGCTTGATGCAGCCCAAGAATCGATTGGAGAACGCCGAGACAGAATTCAATCTCTCAGGAGACACTGGAAGCCACTGATGCTTGCCGTGCGGCTCGTCTGGCAGGGGATCGGGATTTGCACCGTTCTCAGGTGCGCAGAACTCGGTCTCTGTTAAGAAGGGACAAGGAACAGTTTATTAGGAATCTTGCTGAGGAGGTCGAAGGCCATTTCTTAGTAAATGACCTTCGTCCTGCATACCAAGCCCTGAGAAAACTGAACTCCAAGCCCTCTTCACAGGTGACTGCAGTTCGCTTAGTAGGTGGCCAGATTATCTCAGATCCTGTTGCGGTGCGGGAGCGTTGGGCTGAGTACTTTGAGCAGTTGTATCAGGTTGACCCTCCAACAGTTAACTTGGATGTGGGTAGTGCCGTGATTCCGCTGCCGGACCCACCCTAACAGAAGTTAGGGAGGCGATCTCCAAGCTGAAGAGTGGTAAAGCAGCGGGTATTTGCGGCATCCCAGCTGAACTGTTAAAGGCTGGTGGTGAACCTATGGCGGGGATTGCATGCTGTCCTGGCTGCCATCTGGCAGTCCGGTACCATTCCCCTGACCTGTTGAGGGGTGTGGTCATCCCTCTCTGGAAGGGGAAGGGGGACTGATGGGACTGCAGCAATCATCACGGCATCACACTGCTCAGTGTACCAGGCAAGGTTCCGTCAGATTGTCAAGTGAACCAATCAGAGATTGTCTCAGCAAACCTCCAAGCACACTCCCTCTCCTTCAGCCTGTTCAGATGAAACACCCTAGGGTGGTCATTGGGCCGCTGGGGAGTTTTGAAGTGAACTCGGAGGGTAGTCACAACCAATCTCTGAGGCATATCAGAGACCATCTACTAAGGCATCAGAGTCAGAGCAATCTGGATTCACTCCTGGTAAGTCCACAATAGACCGCATCCTTGCTCTCCGAGTCATTGTAGAGCGCCGTCGTGAATTTGGACATGGGCTGCTTGCAGCCAACATCTACCTTAAGAAGGCGTTCGATACAGTGCATTGGGAATCACTCTGGGAGATCCTGAGACTGAGAGGAATTCCAACAAGAATTATTGAATTAATAGCAAACCTATATACTGGTACTGAAAGTGCTGTAAAGTGTGGTGGGGGCCTGTCGAGCTTCTTTCCTGTCAGTTCAGGAGTGAGGTAAGGCTGTGTTCTTGCCTCACTCCTGAACTGACAGGAAAGAACACTTTTCAACACTTGCATGGACTGGATACTAGGCAGAGCTACTGTTCAAAGTCACTGTGGAGCAACACTTGGTAATATTAAGGTTACAGACCTTGACTTTGCCGATGATGTTGGTATTCTATCTGAGTCTTTGGAAACCCTAGTGGTGGATCTCGATGCATTTAGTAATGAAGCGAAGCCCTTGGGTCTAGAGGTCTCCTGGACCAAGACCAAGATCCAGGACTTTGGGGACTTGCTAGGAGAACCTGTTCAGTCAGTACGCGCTTGCGGTGAGGACATTGAAGTCACAGAGAGATTTACATACCTTGGTAGTGCAGTTCATAACTCTGGGCTGTCAGACCAGAAAGTCAGCAGACGGATTGGCCTGGCAGCAGGGGTCATGAAGTCTCTCGACAAGAGTATTTGGAGGTGCCGGTACCTGTGCAGAAGGTCAAGCTACGGGTTTTCAGGGCCCTGATAATGCCAGTTTTGCTCTACGGTAGTGAAACCTGGACATTATCCAGTGCCTTGGAGTCTCGTCTTGATGCCTTTTGTACTAGGTCCTTGCGCCGGATCATGGGGTACTGTTAGCAGGACCATGTGTCTAACCAACGGCTGCACCGTGAGACTGGTGCAGGACCTGTTACCTGCACAATCCGGGATCGCCAAGTCAGGCTATATGGCCACCTGGCTCGCTTTCCACAGGCCGATCCTGCTCATCATGTTGTCTCCCTGGGTGGAGGAGGCCTGTGGGACGACCTAGGAGGTTGTGGCTTGGGCAGATCAATCAAACCTGTCGGGAAGAGCTTGAGATGGGCCGAGTCCCTGCCTGGCGGCTTGCCATGAGGGATCCCAAAAGGTGGACGCGGCTATACGCCTCCGTCGGCGATAGCTCCTGATGATGATGTGTACAGGTAACTTGAAAGTGAAGGTCATTGTCATTTCCGAATATCTTTATATCATGAACAGCCACCTCCAGTAACTTCTATGGAATCCCTAGGTGAACCTCTTTATGTGTAATCATGTTCACATTGATGGTTTTGACAGGCACTGTCAGTGACACATCGACACAGGAACATAAATGCACTTGCCAGTGAATACTATAAATACACATTCCACTACTGTTTATATATGCTGAATTAAATGTCTATATAGATGTAAAATTTATATTTGTGGTTATGTTATGTTTGTATACGTGGATTGTTGTGAACGATTTTTATCATTTTGGAATATCTCATGAGCAGTGGAGCCACAGGCAAATTAGTCTTGATTATTTAAAGTGTATAGTTTTTTATACTTTGTAGCTGAACAGCCAGTGACTATTATAAGTGTATTTCATATGAATACCTTTTTGTCATTATTTATTTTTAGTCAGTTTAATACATTTCCCAATCTGAGCTTCTACTGAACTATTACAGACAGAAAACTCTTATGAAAATCTGCCTTGGAGGTATACAGGAATATGAATATCTTATTCATTATAGCATTCCTAACCTTTCCTTGTTAGTGATGAGTTGTAGTTCTTTAAATACACTTATTTTCTTTAGCTGCATAACAATATATTGTATATACGGATTTATGGCTGTGTGAGTGTAAATAGGTTTGTAAAGTTCATAGTCATATTGGATTGTTTTCTATTTGATCCAATTAGTATGAAAAGGGCAAGTATTCTATTAGAAAACGTTTTCCCGTTTCAGCCGTAACTGAACAGCCACCGTTAGTGACCCCAGGGCCACACTTAGGACCGATTGTGTATGAAGGTAGGAAAGCATTACGTAAACTCATAATGAATATATATTGGTTAGAAGTACATGTATTTCTGACGGAGATATATTCGACAC